AATTGCTAGTCTATTTCGATTGGAATCGAGCAATGAAAAGTGGTTGTTGATTTCATGATAACTTCGGATTTTTTAATTTTTGGCAAATTGCTAGTCTAATTCGATTGGAATCGAGCAAATGAAAAGTGGTTTTTTATTTCATGATAACTTTGGGTTTGTTTGTTTTTTACGAATTACTAGCTAAATCAATTGGAATAGAGCCAATAAAAAGTGGCTTTTGATTACATGATACCTTGGGTTTGCTCATTTTTTATGGATTGCTAGTCTAATTCAATTGGAATCGAGCCAATGAAGAGTGGCTTTTGATTTCATGATAACTTCGGGTTTGTTCATTTTGGCAAATTGCTAGTATAATTCAATTGGAATCGAGCCAATGAAATGTGGGTTTTCATTTCATGATATCTTCGGGATTGTTCATTTTTTACAAATTGCTAGCCGAAATCGATTGGAATCAAGCTAATGTAAAGTGGCTTATGATTTCATGATGACTACGAGTTTGTTCGTTTTGGCGAATTGCTAGTCTAATTCAATTAGAATCGAGCAAATAAAAAGTGGCTTTTTATTTCATGATGACTTCGGGTTTGTTCGTTTTGGCGAATTGCTAGTCTAAATCGATTGGAATCCAGCCAATGAAAAGTTGTTTTCGGTTTCACGATAACTTTGGGTTTGTTCATTTAGGCGAATTACTAGTCTAATTCGATTGGAATCGAGCAAATAGAAAGTTGTTTTTCATTTCATGATAACTTCGGGTTTGTTAATTTTTGGCGAAATTCTAGTCTAATTCGATTGGAATAGAGCCAATAAAAAGGGGCTTTTGATTACATGATAACTTTTGGTTTGCTCATTTTTTACGAATTACTAGTCTAATTCGATTGGAATCGAGCCAATGAAGAGTGGCTTTTGATTTCATGATAACTTCGGGTTCATTCGTTTTGGCAAATTACTAGTCTAATTCAATTGGAATCGAGCCAATGAAATGTGGGTTTTCATTTCATGATAACTTCGGGTTTGTTCCTTTTTTTACAAATTGCTAGCATAAATCGATTGGAATCGAGCCAATGAAAAGTGCCTTTTGATTTCATGACAACTTTGAGTTTGTTCGTTGTAGCGAATTGCTAGTCTGATTCGATTGGAATCGAGCAAATGAAAAGTGGTTTTTGATTTCATGCTAACTTCTAGTTTGTTTACTTTTGGTGAATTCCTAGTCTAAATCGATTGGAATCGAGCCAATGAAAAGTGGCTTTTGATTTCATGATAACTTCGGGTTTGTTCATTTTGGCGAATTGGTAGTCTAAATCGATTTGAATCGAGCCAATGAAAAGTGGTTTTTGATTTCATGATAACTTCGGGTTTGTTCATTTTGGCAAATTGCTAGTCTAATTCAATTGGAATCGAGCCAATGAAATGTGGGATTTCATTTCATGATAACTTTGGGATTGTTCATTTTTTACAAATTGCTAGCCGAAATCGATTGGAATCGAGCCAATGAAAAGTGGCTTATGGTCTCATGATCACTACGAGTTTGTTCGTTTTTGGCGAATTGCTAGTCTAATTCGATTGGAATCGAACAAATAAAAAGTGGCTTTTGATTTCATGATGACTTCGGGTTTGTTCGTTTTGGCGAATTGCTTGTCTAAATCGATTGGAATCGAGCCAATAAAAAGTTGTTTTCGATTTCACGATAACTTAGGGTTTGTTCATTTCGGCGAATTGCCAGTCTAATTCGATTGGAATCGAGCCAATAGAAAGTTGTTTTTCATTTGATGATAACTTCGGGTTTGTTCATTTTTGGCGAAATGCTAGTCTAATTCAATTGGAATAGAGCCAATAAAAAGTGGCTTTTGATTACATGATAACTTTTGGTTTGCTCATTTTTTACGAATTACTTGTCTAATTCGATTGGAATCGAGCCAACGAAGAGTGGCTTTCGATTTCGTGATAAATTGCAGTTTGTTCGTTTTGGCAAATTGCTAGTCTAATTCAATTGGAATCGAGCCAATGAAATGTGGGTTTTCATTTCATGATAACTTCGGGTTTGTTCGTTTTTTACAAGTTGCTAGCCTAAATCGATTGGAATCGAGCCAATGAAAAGTGCCTTTTGATTTCATGATAACTTTGAGTTTGTTCGTTGTAGTGAATTGCTAGTCTGATTCGATTAGAATCTAGCAAATGAAAAGTGGTTTTTGATTTCATGCTAACTTCTAGTTTGTTTGATTTTGGCGAATTCCTAGTCTAAATCGATTGGAATCGAGCCAATGAAAAGAGCCTTTTGATTTCATGATAACATCGGGTTTGTTCGTTTTGGCGAATTGCTAGTCTAAATCGATTGGAATTGAGCCAATGAAAAGTGGATTTTGATTTCATGATAACTTCGAGTTTGTTCATTTTGGTGAATTGCTCGTCTAATTCGATTGGAATCGAGCCAACGAAAAGTGGTTTTTCATTTCATGATCACTTCGGGTTTGTTCGTTTTTAGCGAATTGCTAGTCTAAATCGATTGGAATCAAGCAAATGAAATCTGGCTTTTGATTTCATGATAACTTCGGGTCTGTTTGTTTTGGCGAATTGCTCGTATAATTCGATGGGAATCAAGTCAATGAAAAGTTGTTTTTCATTTCATTATAACTTAGGCTTTGTTCGTTTCTAGCAAATTGCTAGTCTAAATCGATTGGAATCAAACAAATGAAGAGTGGCTTTTGATTTCATGATAACTTCGGGTTTGTTTGCTTTTGGCGAATTGCTCGTCTAATTCGACTGGTATCGAGCTAATGAAAAGTGGTTTTTCATTTGATGATAACTTCGGATTTGTTCATTTTTGACGAATTACCAGCCTAAGTCGATTGGAATTGAGCAAATGAAAAGTTGCTTTTGTGTTCAAGATAACTTCGGCTTTGTTCGTTTTTGCAAATTGCTTGTCTAATTCAACTCGAATTGAGCCAATGAAAAGTGGTTTTTCAGTTAATGATAACTTCGGGTTTGTTCATTTTTGGCGAATTGCTAGTCTAAATCGTTTGGAATCGAGCCAATGAAAAGTGCATTTTGATTTCATGATATCGTCGGGTTTGTTCATTTTAGCGAATTGGTAGTCTAATTTTATTGGAATCGAGCTAATCAAAAGTGGTTTTTGATTTCATGATAACTTCGAGTTTGTTTATTTTTGGCGAATTGCTCGTCTAATTCGACTGGCATCGAGCTAATGAAAAGTGGTTTTTCATTTGATGATAACTTCGTATTTGTTCGTTTTTGACGAATTACTAGCCTAAATTGATTGGAATTGAGCAAATGAAAAGTTGCTTTTGATTTCAAGATAACTTCGGGATTGCTCGTCTAATTCAACTTGAATTGAGCCAATGAAAAGTGGTTTTTCATTTCATGATAACTTCGGGTTTGTTCATTTTTGGCGAATTGCTAGTCTAAATCATTTGGAATCGAGCTACTGAAAAGTGCCTTTTGATTTCATGATATCGTCGGGTTTGTTCATTTTAGCGAATTGGTAGTCTAATTTTATCGGAATCGAGCTAATCAAAAGTGGTTTTTGATTTCATGATAACTTTGGGTTTGTTTGTTTTTGGCGATTTGCTAGTCTGAATCGATTGGAATCGAGCCAACGAAAATTGGTTTTTCATTTCATGATGACATCGGGTTTGTTCGTTTTTGACGAATTGCTAGCCTAAATCGGTAGGAATCGAGCCAATGAAAAGTGGCTTTTGATTTAAGGATAACTTTGAGTTTGATCGTTTTGGCAAATGACTAGTCTGATTCGATTGGAATCGAACAAATGAAAAGTGGTCTTTAATTTCATGATAACTTCTAGTTTGTTTGATTTTGGCGAATTGCTAGTCTAAATCGATTGGAATCGAGCTAATGAAAAGTCATTTGATTTCATGATAACTTCGGGTTTGTTTGATTTGGCGAATTGCTAGTCTAATTCGATTGGAATCGAGCTAATGAAAAGTGGTTTTTGATTTCATAATAACTTCGGACTTGTTCATTTTTGGCGAATTGCTAGTCTAATTCGATTGGAATCGAGCCAACGAAAAGTTTTTTTGGTTTCACAATAACTTCGGGTTTGTTCATTTCGGCGAATTGCTAGTCTAATTCGATTGGAATCAAGCCAATGGAAAGTGGTATTTCATTTCATGATAACTTCGGGTTTGGTCGTTTTTGGCAAATTGCTAGTATAATTCGATTGGAATCAAGCCAATGAAATGTAGCTTTTGATGACATGATAACTTCTAGTTTGTTTGTTTTTAGCGAATTCCTAGTCTAAATCGACTCGAATCGAGCCAATGAAAAGTGGCTTTTGATTTCATGATAACTTCGGGTTTGTTCGTTTTTGCGAATTGCTAGTCTAATTCGATTTGAATTGAGCTAATGAAAAGTGATTTTTGATTTCATGATAACTTCGGATTTGTTCATTTTTGGCGAATTGCTAGTCTAATTCTATTGGAATCGAGCCAATGAAAAGTGACTTTTCATTTCATGATAACTTTGGGCTTTTTCATTTTGGCGAATTGCTAGTCTAATGCGATTGGAATCGAGCTAATGAAAAGTGGCTTTTGATTTCATGATAGCTTTGGGATTGTTCGTTTTTGGCGAATTGCTAGTCTATTTCGATTGGAATCGAATCAATGAAAAGTGGTTGTTGATTTCGTCACTACAACAAAAACAGCCTTTTGCAACGTTCAAAAAATGTTGCTAAAGCCTTTTTGCAACGTTTGGACGTATGTTGCAAACCTCAGTGTTGTCGTAGAGCGAAAGGATACGGCAACGTTTATTAAACGTTGCGATATATGTCTACGGCAACGTTTATTAAACGTTATCGTAGACACATACCGCAACGTTTAAAAAATGTTGCCGTAAACACTTATCGCAACGTTTTTTAAACGTTGCCGTAGACACTTACCGCAACGTTTAATAAACGTTGCCATAAGTGTTTCACAATTTTTTTTTTTTTTTTTTTGCATTACTTTATGTAAATTGACTCGCAAAATTGAAAATGACAAATTTTGGAATTGCATAAAAATTGATAATTTCATTACAAACTTTTTAATCCATACACTTGATCATTAGAATGTAATACAACACCACCTAAATAAATAAAAAAAAGAGCTTCAAAATGAAACAAAATTAGGAATAAAATTTTGACGATGATACACCACACCATCAAATAAAATAGTTTTGTTATTTTGACAATAATAAAATCTTGAGGTCGATACGTCTCTTGGTGAGGAAGTCGAGCATTTCATCCTTGAAGTACCCATACATTTATACTTGCTTTTGCTCCATAATATTAATTTCCACTCACATACCCTATAGCATGCTGTAAGCCAAAAATAGATGTCCAAATGTTAGGTCGACTACATAAATCATTTTTCATCTCTATGTTCGATCAATTAGACTAATCTCATGCCTATTGCTAAATGAATCTCTTTGAATAGGCCTTCGTATTTTTCTCCCGAATCTTCGTATAGAACTAGCCTTCAAAAAATCTTGCTCTGTTGTTCTTCTAATTGGAATGGTCCCTTCTATAAATTAAACAAGAATGTTAAGTTAGATTCTTTATGCAAAAATAATCAAGTCAAGCAAATATAAGCAATTAATTACCTGAACTGTCTTGATAGAAGGCTTATTGATCATCATCATACGGTTTCTGATAAACCTCATCTTCATTGATTCTTTTCTTGAATTAAAATTCTGATTGCTACCATTGAAATTTACCGATTCCTTAAATTATACACAAGCATGCACACAAAAGATATTACAGTTATGGTTGTTCGAATTTCATTCTCAAGTTCGTAGTTTCATCAGAACTAGAACTTTAGAGGGACATAGGCAGTGCAAGGATACATAAACATTATATATTTTCCATCTCATTTTGGTTTTAATTCCAACTGGTCATAGAATTTCCTCCAAGTTGACAAAAAATACCAGCAATTCCAACTGATATGTCTTGCTTCTTTTGTATGTCAGGTTAGCAATTTTACTAAAATGACACACGTTCAAGATTTGATTCAGATTGCTTTTCTTAGTCTTTCTTCCTAGTTGCAATTACTCTGAACTATAATGTTAGTCAAACCTTTTTTCATGTCAAATGAGAAACAATGAATACATAAACAAATAAATGAAATAAGGTTAGGTACTTGGTACTCTATTTTGATGTTTGGTTACAAACAAATTAACAAACTTTACATCTTCATAAATATTTCAACATCATAAATTCAACACGGTAAAAAGAGATACCGTGTTTGTATATTTTAATTAAGAAACAGAGAAAATAAAGAACATAAAGAGAACAAAAACAGAAAATAATAGCTTGAATATTGTGATCAATATACAAAATATCAGCCCAACCTCGATCAGTCAACTCAGTTCCAAATAATCTCTTGATGAACATATTTTCTTCTTGAAAACAAGTAAATAATCTCAAATCACTTCACTCCCTCTTGGTACAATATTCTAAAACAAACCTTCTAGAAATAGTTAATGATAAGGAGTGGAGTAGAATAATAGTTTCTCTATCAATCAAGTCCGTGTACACAATATTTTTATATTTTTCAGATAGATTTTGCCACAACACCAGCATCCACAAGCTCAATTCTTCAACAATATCACAATTCCGGTACCAAATTATCTCAAATAACAAAACTAGGAGGAGAAAATGTAAACAGATAGAAGAACACATGGGAATTTGGAATTCATTTCTTTATCCACTTCACCTTGTCCTTCGTTACAAAATAAATAATAATAAACAACATAAATCCTAATCCAGACACAATTCGTCTTTCATAGCCAATTGAATAAGTTCAAACGTGTTGATTAATGCAGTGATATGCGAATTGTGCGACATCTTCGAAAAATTTTACAAGTAGGATCACCATCAGATCTATACGTGTGAGTAGGAAAATTAACCTTGACTATTCTGCAGAAGTACTGAGGGAGGAAAGAATTGGGTCGGGCATGAGAACCCGAGCGCCCTTTTGTCGATGATGAGGTAGGCATCATCCTTTTCTTTCCCTTCTTCTGCTTCTTCTTCACTTCTTATATGATTCACGCGATTTCTTTTTTCTTCTGCTCAACGGATCGATCAAAGATTTGGTCAATTTCGTAGCAGTTTTACCATTTTGTTCCTCTCTCTCTCTAGCAGTTTTACCATTTTGTAGACATCATTCAAAAATTATGAAATTAAAAATGCATAAATTAAAAGCCAAAAACAAGTAATAATATCTGGAGAAAGTGAAGAGGCACGTCTAATAAATATAACGAATTTACCTCTTGCACTTCATCTCTCGTGATTTTTCTATCTCCATTGCTATCTGCCCTACCAAGATGAGGTAAGAATATGGAAGAAATGCTAAGCCGCAGCCATATCTGGAGAAGAAGAAGTGTGTGCAAATCGCGGTGGGTCAAATTTTTGGGGAAAAATTTGCCGGGTTCACCTAGGGTTTGGCCTTGATTTTTGTTTTGGGGATCTCGTTTCATTTGCAAAGAGAAGAGGAGTGTGAAGTAATTTGAAGATTGGTAAGGCATGTATTTTATTTTCAAAGTAAAGGCATGTTTGGCATTACTCATTTGGTGTCCTTACTTTTGAAAACGTTGCGAAAGATAACTTTTGGTGTGCATATACGGTAGGCAGAAAATACAATATGCTGCAAATACGGTAAGTTGCACATACGGTATGCTGCAAATACGATAGTTGCACATACGGTAAGGTGAAAAACACGGTAAGCTGAAAATATGGTAAGCTTCATGTCAATACGGTAGATATGTGGATATACGGTAGGCAGAAAATACGATATACTGCAAATACGGTAAGTTGTGCATACGGTAAGGTACAAATTTATATTTGCAGCTTGTGGCTACTCTGAATTCCCAGGAAAATTAAAAACTTGCTTACCCATAGGAATTGCAATTCCTCAATTTGGTGGAATTAGGGGTCACGTGAGGAAAAATGGGAAAAGGAATTGCCTGGAAAATTTTGTGTATCAAACAGCCTAAAAAGGGTGAAAAGGTGGAAAATAATTGATTTTTCTTGAAAAATTATGCTTATCAAATAGGGCCTAAGTGCATTGAAAAGTAAGAAAGAAGGGAGACAGAGAGATGGAGGCAGAAGGGTTGAAGTCGAAAAATGGAATTGGGCATTTGTATTGTTTTGTACAAAAAATAAAAATAAAAATAAAAATAAAATACGGCATTTTGCAACGTTTAAAAAACGTTGCCAAAAGTTTGAATTTTCGCAACGTTTTTTAAACGTTGCAAAAGATAAACTTTTGGCAACATTTGATAAATTTTGCAAAAGATCATTTTTGGCAACGTTTAATAAACGTCGCGAAAAGTTTATCTTTTGTAACGTTTATTAAACGTTGCCAAAAATGATCTTTCGCAACATCTGATAAACGTTGCGAAAAATGTTTTTCGTAACGTTTGATAAACGTTGCAAAAATAAAAAGTTTTGCAACACTAAATAAACGTTGCAAAAGGCGACATTCGCAACATTCACTTAAAAAATGTTGCCAAATCTCAATTGTTAACATCAACAGCAACATTCACTTATTAGAATGTTGCAATAAATCCTTTTAGCAACAATTAATTGATGAGTGTTGCCGTTTAAATGTTGCAAAAACACTTTTTTGTTGTAGTGCGTGATAACTTCGGGTTTGTTCATTTTGGCAAATTTCTAGTCTAATTCGATTGGAATCGAGCAAATGAAAAGTGGTTTTTTATTTCATGATAACTTTGGGTTTGTTCGTTTTTTACGAATTACTAGCTAAATCGATTGGAATCCAGCCAATGAAAAGTGGCTTTTGATTTCTTGATAACTTCGGGTTTGTTCGTTTTGGCAAATTGCTAGTCTAATTCGATGGAAATCCAGTCAATGAAAAGTGGTTTTTGATTTCATGATAACTTCGGGTTTGTTCGTTCTTAGCAAATTGCTAGTCTTATTCGATTGAAATCGAGCCAATGAAAAGTGGTTTTTCATTTCGTGATAACTTCTAGTTTGTTTGATTTTGGCGAATTCCTAGTCTAAATCGATTGGAATCGAGCCAATGAAAAGAGGCTTTTTATTTCATGATAGCTTCAAGTTTGTTCGTTTTGGAGTATTGCGAGTCTGATTCAATTGGAATCGAGGAAATGAAAAGTGGTTTTTGACTTCATGATACTTCTTGTTTGTTTGTTTTTAGCGAATTGCTAGTCTTTTTCGATTAGAATCGAGTCAATGTAAAGTGATTTTTGATTTAATGATAACTTCAGGTTTGTTCGTTTTGGCGAATTGCTAGTCTAATTCGATTGTAATCGAGCTAATGAAAAGCTGCTTTTGATTTCTTGATAACTTCGTGTTTGTTTGTTTTGGTGAATTGCTAGTCTTGTTCGATTGGAATCGAGCAAATGAAAAGCGATTTTTTATTTCATGATAACTTCTAGTTTGTTTGTTTTAGGGGAATTCCCAGTCTAAATCAATTGGAATCGAGCCACTGAAAAGTGGCTTTTGATTTCATGATAACTTCGGGTTTGTTCGTTTTGTCGAATTGCTAGTCAAATTCAATTGGAATCGAGCTAATGAAAAGTGGTCTATAATTTCATGATATATTCAGATTTGTTTGTTTTGGCGAATGGCTAGTCAAATTCGATTGGAATCGAGCTAATGAAAAGTGGTTTTTGATTTCATGGTAAATCGGATTTGTTCGTTTTTGGCGAATTGCTAGTCTGATTCGTTTGTAATCGAGCCATTGAAAAGTTGCTTTTGATTTCACGATAACTTCGGGTTTGTTCATTTCGTAGAATTGCTAGTCTAATTCGATTGGAATCAGACAAACTGAAAGATGTTTTTCATTTCATGATAACTTCGGATTTGGTGTTTTTGGCGAATTGCTCGTCTAATTCAATTGGAATCGAGCTAATGAAAAGTTGTTTTCGATTTCACGATAACTTCGGGTTTGTTCATTTCAGCGAATTGCTAGTCTAATTCGATTGGAATCGAGCCAATGGAAAGTGATTTTGCATTTCATGATAACTTCGGGTTTGTTCGTTTTTGGCGAATTACTAGTCTAATTCGATTGGAATCGAGCCAATGAAAAATGTCTTTTGATTACATGATAACTTCTAGTTTGTTCGTTTTTGGCGAATTGCTTGTCTAATTCGATTTGAATCGAGCCAATGAAAAGTGGTTTTTCATTTCACGATAACTTTGGGTTTGTTCATTTTTTACGAATTGCTAGCCTAAATCGATTAGAATCGAGCCAATGAAAAGTGGCTTTTGATTTCATGATGACTTAGAGTTTGTTCGTTTTGGTGAATTTCGAGTCTGATTCGATTGGAATCGAGCAAATGGAAAGTAGTTTTTAACTTCATGATAACTTCTTGTTTGTTCGTTTTGGCGATTTGCTAGTCTTTCTCGATTAGAATCGAGTGAATGTAAAGTGGTTTTTGATTTCATAATAACTTCGGGTTTGTTCGTTTTGGCAAATTGCTAGTCTAATTCAATTGGAATCAAGCTAATGAGAAGTGGCTTTTGATTTCTTGATAACTTCGAGTTTGTTTGTTTTGGCGAATATCTAGTTTTGTCCGATTGGAATCGAGCAAATGAAAAGTGATTTTTGATTTCGTGATAACTTCTAGTTTGTTTGTTTTAGGCAAATTCCTAGTCTAAATCAATTGGAATCGAGCCAATGAAAAGTGGCTTTTGATTTCATGATAACTTCGGGTTTATTCATTTTGGCGAATTGCTAGTCTAATTCGATTGGAATCGAGCTAATGAAAAGTGGTTTTTGATTTCAGGATATATTCGGATTTGTTCGTTTTTGGCGAATTGCTAGTCTAATTCGATTGGAATCGAGCCAATGAAAAGTTGGTTTCGATTTCACGATAACTTCGGGTTTGTTCATTTCGGCGAATTGCTAGTCTAATTCGATTGAAATCGAGCCAATGGAAAGTGGTTTTGCATTTCATGATAATTTCGGGTTTGTTCGTTTTTGGCGAGTTGCTAGTCTAATTCGATTGGAATCGAGCCAATGAAAAGTGACCTTTGATTACATGATAACTTCTAATTTGTTTATTTTTGGCGAATTCCTAGTCTAAATCGATTGGAATCGAGCCAATGAAAAGTGGCTTTTGATTTCATGATAACTTCGAGTTTGTTCATTTTGGCGAACTGCTAGTCTGATTCAATTGGAATCGATCTAATGAAAATTGATTTTTGATTTCATGATAACTTCTTATTTGTTCATTTTTTGCGAATTGCTAGTCTAATTCGATTGGAATCGAGCCAATGAAAAGTAGCTTTTCATTTCATGGTAGCTTTGGGTTTTTTCATTTTGGTGAATTTCTAGTCTAATGCGATTGGAATCGAGCTAAAGAAAAGTGGCTTTTGATTTCATGATAACTTCGAGATTGTTCGGTTTTGGCGAATTGCTTGTCAATTTCGATTGGAATCGAGTCAATGAAAAGTGGTTTTTGATTTCATGATAACTTCAGGTTTTTTCATTTTTGGTAAATTGCAAGTCTAATTCAATTGGAATCGAGCCAATGAAAAGTGGTTTTTCATTTCATGATAACTTTGTGTTTGTTCGTTTTTAACGGATCGCTAGCCCAAATCAATTAGAATCGAGCCAACGAAAGGTGGCTTTTGATTTCAGGATAACTTCGAGTTTGTTCATTTTGGCGAATTGCTAGTCTATTCGATTTGAATCAAGCAAATGAAAAGTGGTTTTGGATTTCATGATAACTTCTAGTTTGTTTGATTTTGGCGAATTCCTAGTCTAAATCGATTGGAATCGAGCCAATGAAAAGAGGCTTTTTATTTCATGTTAATTTCGGGTTTGTTCGTTTTAGCGAATGGCTAGTCAAATTCGATTGTGTATCGAGCTAATGAAAAGTGATTTTTGATTTCATGATAAATCGGTTTTATTCGTTTTTGACGAATTGCTAGTCTAATTCGATTGGAATCGAGCCAATGAAAAGTTGTTTTTTGGTTTCACGATAACTTCGAGTTTGTTCATTTCGACGAATTGCTAGTCTAATTCGATTGGAATCGAGCCAATGGAAAGTGTTTTTTAATTTCATGATAACTTCGGGTTTGGTCGTTTTTAGCGAATTGCAAATCTAATTCGATTGGAATCGAGCCAATAAAAAGTTGTTTTTGATTTTACGATAACTTCGGTGTTCATTTCGGCGAATTGCTAGTCTAATTCGATTGGAATCGAGCCAATGGAAAGTGGTTTTGTATTTAATATTAACTTTGGGTTTGTTCATTTTTGGCGAATTGCTAGTCTAATTCCATTGGAATCAAGCCAATGAAAAGTGGCTTTCGATTACATGATAACGTTTACTTTGTTCGTTTTTGGCTAATTCCTAGGCTAAATCAATTGGAATCGAGCCAATGAAAAGTGGCTTTTGATTTCTTGATAACTTCGAGTTTGTTTGTTTTGGCGAATTGCTAATCCGATTCGATTGGAATCGAGCAAATGAAAAGCAATTTTTGATTTCACGATAACTTCTAGTTTGTTTGTTTTAGGCGAATTC